ACTCTTACAGAGTTGCCAGAGTCCATGATTCTCCTCACATCCTAGCTGGAGTAGGTTCCTCTCAGTGACTTGCATAGCCCACATCCCCATCATATACTAGTAGCCTGGCTTTATCAAGCATTTACTCTCTCGTTCTAGTTTCTGTATTTATTTATTTTTTTTTCTATTTTATATTTGCCAACACTCTGTGTCTCTCTCTCTTGGGTTTCAGGTGACTCATTGATACATCTGGTCAATTTATTCTTGTTAATTGAGAAACAGCTTATGAAAATACAACATAAATGCTGTTGCAGTAAAGTATGGCTTTTCTCTACATTTCATGTTCTTGTTGGGTAGAGTCAAAATGAAGTTTCCAACTCCTTACTGATGCACCTGAAATATCCTCTCTTGTGGATTTTGTACAAAAGAAAGTTAGAAGTCTTAAGTTGCTGCAATTCTTTAATACATTTCTGCCCTGCTTATCCACTGTTAAAAGGCATTTTACTAGCGATATGACTACAAATTTTCATTCATCATAAAAATTCAACACAATTGTCATGACTATGTGCCCTGCTGAAATAAGGTTAATGACTACAACAGTGAATTTGCTGCTCAGGTATTAAATGCTATGTTACTATGCTTAGGCTTAGATATAAGTACCTGTCCATCATTTGCATGAATAATTAAAAAACATTGTTCTTTAGAAAATTCTAAAGAAAATATTTTCTTTAAACAAAAACCAAAACCCACCAAACCCTTTTATTTTCTTACCTCTGCATTGACCCATGTTGTAATTTTGTGACATGTTCATTTAAACTGACATGATTTATAACAAAACCTTCATTATACAAGACAGATAGAAACAGAGCTGTCTTTAACAATGAATCACAATTCTAAACTTTATGATTCACCCAAGTATCTCTTCTGCTGAGGAAGACCAATGTGATAAAAAATCTGAAGAATGGAAACATAAATAGTAAATCTGTGATATAAAGCAAGGCATGCATATGCTCTAGTTACTCATAGGCTCTTAAGATCAGACACCTAACCAGTCATTTTTAGTGATTTCTATCTTCTAGTTTTTCCTTCAGTCTTAACTATCTTTCTAACTAAAATATGAACAGTAACAGACTATTTTGTTCAAAATAAACTGCTAATGAATGCATAGTCAGATGTGCCTTTTCCCTGGTGTACATCCCTGTTCTTTCTTAACAGATTTGATAAAACATTATGTGTTACAGTGTTTGTGCATAGGCGATCAGATCAGAAATACGACAAATTAATATCACTGGCAATATCCCCTTGCAGTGAAAGAGAGGAACTGAGAACTGTTCCCACGTACAAGAATGCAATTACCTGCTTTACTGAGTATTGACACAAAATGAAAGGACAATCCAGGGGAAACCAAAGGGCTGAGATTACTTCTGTAAGATTATTCTTTCACTTTGTCATCAAAAATAAATTACCACAAACAGCATCAAAAATTTGAGAGAACACTTTTTCAATTGAAAATGAAATGCTGCTATGTCTACAATTTTCACAGTATGCTAAACATTTCTACAGATGTCACCAATAAACAGTAAAATGTACTGTTCAAAATATCTGTATTCCAGTATTGCATTATAAATGCAGTATCAAAATGTTATACCAAATAGATTTCATATTTCAATATTCAGCATTTCCTGATTTGGGGGTCATTTAATGGACTTGCACAGTAGTAGCTCAGTCTTTTTTCTATCTACATCACAAAATAATCTTTAAATAAATGATTTCTAGTACAGAATTTTTAAGAACATATTATAATGCAAAATTTTCCATTGCCTGTAGAGACTTTATTTACAAGAAACCAAGTAATAAGGAGGGAGCCAAGAATTAGGATGGAGAGGGGAGAAAACCTCTTCCAGTGTCTTCCTTCAGAAACTGGTGAAATCTTTCTAACACTGTCCAGGACAGAGCTCAGTCAGGCAGATGCTTGCTTTCACGTCAGCCTGCCTTCAGCAAGCACCTTGCATGAAATAAACTCTTGTGCAGGGGACCAAATAAAATAACGTGCATCACTGAAAATTCACACATGGCTATTTTTAGAGCAGAATTTTCAATCTAAGAGGTGAAAGGGGATATCTTAATGCCTTGTCTAGAAGATAACCTATACAAAACAAATAAAAGATGCTATTCACGTTCAAAGTGCAAAGTGAATAAAACTTCAACTAATAATCTTTAGAATTGCAGAAGTATGTTTTCCAAAGTGAAAAGTTACTTTTGTGCAAAAATTCACCTTTTACTTCCAGGACATACTCATTGTAAAGGTGTTCAAGAAACCAGAAAATATTTTACTTTTATTAATCTAAGGAAAAGCTGTACTAGTTTATTTAGTTCTTACAGCATACCAGTTTAGATTACTGAGCACAAAAGTAAAAGATATGTTCAACAAATTGTTAGGTATTAAAATACTGAGATGTGATACATAAAATATCCGTGTTTGAAACTTATATTTTATGTTAATTTACATCATTTACATCATTGGGAAAAATATTGGGCCAAAAAAACCTTTAATGCCTGTAACTTTCACCACTGCAGCAAACTAGACAGTATTTAGATTCATATCAGAATACTTGGACTGAGGCAGAAATAATGTTTGGTTATCCAAGATATATAACTTCCTCTGTGAATTCTACAATAAAATTTATGTACTGGATAGACAATAAAAAGCAGAAAAAAACCAAAAATCTTCCCTTTCTTACAGTTGATCTCAGAAACATTTACAGAATTCTACCCAAATCATCCACTTTCTTCAGGCTTAGATGCTCCGAGGGTTCTTAATTAAAGATTGCTCAACCTACCACTTGACCACATTACACTAGAGAGCTACTTCCATTTTATCTGTTTATAGGAACAAGACTACTGCTTGAATACATCATCCTTCACAGGATCAAACTCTGTGTAGTTCCAGAGGAAATTCTGCCAGTCTATTTTACCAGATTTGAAAACCATATGCCCAGTAATTACAAAATCATGTATTACTCTGTATGTGTGTTTACTGCACATGACTGGAGTTACAGTTAAAAAAAAAAAAAAAAAGAAATTCTTATGCCACACAAGAATAATAAAAAGCAATTTGCATGCACTGCAGTTAACTATCTTTATTAACTGAATCTGAGGCAAAGACAAGACATTTAGGTACTACCATGCAAGTACAGAAGACAACATTTTGTATTATCTGAATTCCTACTGTCAAAGAGAGAAATCCTATTTTCTCAGTGTGTAATCTGAATGCATCCTTCAGAGCTGCTAGAAATGGATTGCATTAGGGATAGACTTTTGAAAGAATTACCACAGTCAGAAGTCTTTTGTATTAGCAGGCAATACCTTCAGGTTTCATTTTGTGGTAAGCCCTAAATTGATCTCCTGTATCACTTTGTAAATGGTAGGAGTTACTAGCTTAAGATTTACTCTATGACTTTTTTAAGTATACCATAACCTCCTCTAATACTGCAAGGAAGTTAATGGCCTGAACATTTCACTTCTGCAGTTAGCAGTGTCCTTGCTCAGAAATTCCACAATCTGCTGAGCCAATATTGTTTTAACAGATAGGAGTTTGCACTCAGAAAAGGCAAAAGAAAAAAATCATCCTGGAATTAAGGGTTGACTAGTAGTTCAAAGCAATTCAAGTACTGTAACACAATAAGAAGGGACTGCCATTATTTTCATACTGAATTTATTTAATGCACCTAAAAAACCCCTCCTCCTGACCATACTTAACTGTCAAGTACACAATTCTGTTAAAACAGCAAAATTCTCTATGAAGACAGGTGACAGTAAAGTTGGATTAGAACGTAAAAATATTTGCTATTAAATGGAAATGGTGGAAGAATATCTGGATCATAGGGGTCAAAGAGTCAGAGATTTTGAAGTCCAAATAGCAGCTGGTTAAGAGCACTGCACCTCAGTGGTCAATTCCAGTGCCAATTCTGTTTAGAGTCTTTAACAACCTGTACAGAACGCATCCTCTGGAAGTTTGGGGACAACACCAGTTTGAGCAGAGCAGTCAGTACCTACCTGGAGGGTAGGGCTGCCTTTCAGAGGACCTTGACAGCCTGGAGAAACGGGCTGGCAATGAACTTTATCAGTATAAATGCAAAATGCTGCATCTCGTGCTCCCACTGCTCTCTACAACTACCTAATTAGAGGGTATAGAGAAGAGAGAGCCAAACTTCTCTGAGATATGTAGTGAAAGGATAAGGGGACACTGACACAAATTTCAGCAAGGGAAATTTCAGCTTAAGTATTAGGAAAAAAAGCCGCTCTAGACTGAACAAGTACTAGAGCGACTGCCCAGAGTCTCTCTGAGATCTCCATCCTGGCAGATAATCTAAATTTGTTGAGACATGGCCCTGGGCTACCTGCCTTAGTCTGGGTGAGATCTAACTTTGAAACTGGCCCTGCTCTGGGTGAAGGGTTGGACCAAGAGACCTCCAGAACATCTTTCCAGCTCAAAATTACTGTAGGGTTCTCTGATCCTAAATTTTCAACCAAAAACTTACAGGGAGCAAAAGTTTTATATTCCATCTAAGGGATGTACCCATAAACATATCTTCACATTCTTGCCACATGAAAACTGTCACATATTCACAGGTGAATTTACACAACCTTTTTCACTAAAACAAGCATGTAAAGTCACCCATCCCTTTCTTTTTATTCTTCTTTTTGAAAACATACTCTCCACAAACATCACTGCAAACTTGTTTCAGGTAAGGATGGTGAAATAAACTGAAAAACAGTATCATAAAATTAGTGACTAACATGGTAGTTATACTTAAAAATAAACTTGTATTTTATGAATATTTGCCAAATATGAGTTAGGATGCAATCTACCATACCAGCATTTCATATTTTCCCTTGCAGATGCACATGAAGATAGATCAAATTAATCTTAGGTTATAGTGACTAAAATTTTAGACATTTCCCACACCAGCGCAGCTACAGATTTCTGAGGAATAAGTGACAGAAACAAAGGGTCTAACCTCTGGCTTGTAGCCCAGGTCCACAAGTTTCATGTGCTCCTGGACTGTCTTGGCGTACGTACCAAGGTACTAGCTGGCACCTGCGCCACTTGTGGGTCTTCCACCTGAAATGAGGGGGAAGCAGTCAACTTCAAACATTCTATCTAAACTTGTTGCCATCAAAACTGAGGCAGCACAAGTGTTAGCATTATAAACTACTGTGAGCTGTTGCTTATTATTGCTATCTGGTGACAGACAATTCATAACAAACAGTAACAAGATTGTAAATTTTTCCCTCTTTCCTGTTACCTTTTTTGCTCCTTGTGTGATTAGGCCATTAAGAACACAGGAAAGGAAGGAGAAGGCAAAGAAGGGAAGAGAAAACAAATGATACATGTTTTCAAGGATTTCAAAGTAGAAAGGTAAATTAACACTACCTAACAAATACACAGTGAATACAAACCATAGTATGAGGTTTATACATTAATACAAAGCACTAACACAAGATGTGAGAAAGAAATTTCAAAAAAGAACACTATATAAAATAAAATTATATGACTTGAATATACATTTAACAGAACTCCTTTGCTATGGATTTATATCTCAGCATGCTCAGAGTATTTTACCAGTCAACAAAATGACATACTAAAATTTTAAAAGTGGATTTAGCAAAATGACACTGACATCTCATAAAAACAATATGGACTCAGTAAATAAGGATGAGTTTTAAATACACACCCTAATAAGCTCCTCTTCCTTGCTTTCTTCCAACTATCTCAGTGAAACAATTATGTGTTGAAGTTTCCTAAATACGCTCCAGAGATAAGACTCCAAGGTTGATTTCTGGTTAATTCAGTACTGGAATTGTCTTTTGGCAGTAAATACTGTCACATATATGTGTTATTGTATTTTTTTCTCTTTTCCTTCTTTCCTCTTCCCCAGGTCTTTTCTTCTCCCCCTTCCCTTAGGCATGTCTTGAGACACAACACAAAATGGAGTAATTCCACCTTGCTTGAAGCATAAACAAGTCTTGGAGTTACGAAGATGAGGTCAGATGAGCAAGGTTTTAGGATTTTTGTTTTGTTTTATCAAATTTGAAATTTTATGATTACAAGGGCAAATTTTTCACAACAAACAAATTCCTTTGCTAAGCTTCATTTTCCAAATACTATCCCCCAAGAGGAGAAACCAGAAGCAAAAAGGAATGTCAGCTACAGTGAACTATGGTGACAGTGGGTTTAAATGACTGTGAGGGTGCCTCAGGCAATCCCAGAACACCTGGGGTCTCTGGTAACTGAATGGCAGCACCTTACAAATGTGGAGCAAACCAAGAGATCCAACACAATGCAAATATGGGCCCAGACCATTTCAAAACAAAATACAATGACAAAAGGAATTCGCAAAAAACTTTGATAACAAATGCAATTTTTTAATAATAACAAAAACATAATAATAACAAAATTTGATAACAAAACCAATTTTGCTGCTTAAATTATTCTATCATGAATATAAACTGCTACAAAACAAAGTTCCCTTGTAGCATCGCAGAATACCCTAAGCCTTAGATGCAACAAATCAAAGCATCTCTGAAACAATCCACGGCTGTCAGAATTACTCAGTGTGGGGAAAAATATGCTACATCCACAGCTCAGACCATCAGCTGCTCTCATGTTTAAAATTATCTCAATGGTTTTGCACCTCAAGTTTCACTGCAACCTGCCTCTGTGGGCCAGTAGCTGAATTAAGGCATGAGCCAAGTTGAGTGTGTGAGCCCATCTGTCACAGCATGTTCATAGGTCAGAAAGATGCTAAAGGAAATACACGTAAAATGTGTTTAGTATTAGTTTGTGTCATGAAGTGGAAATGACCTCATCTACCACTCCCTAGCAACTCTTCTTTCTTCTGCTCAGCACATTATCACACACTAGCTCAGGTAAAATTTGCTACTGAAGATCCTGAAGAGTTGAGGAGCAGTCAGCATTTTAAAAGATAAAACTCTGATTCTGGTATTGACCAGAAAAAGTTCTCGAGCTATATTTCTCTGATGTTTGAAGTACTGATTTTGGTAGCTTCCCAATGCTCTTTTACATTCTTTCATTTCTCTCAGTTACATACAGTGTGCTCTCCTAATGAATCTGCAATGATAATACTTACCAGAGGATGAAAGCAACACATTTCTTTAATCTCAATTTGGTTTTGCTAAAATAAGCTTAAATTCTACTTGTACCTCTGCAACAGAGAGTAGTTTCATGGGAATTAGCAGGTGGAGAAACAGAACATTGGCTTCCAATAAGTATGTTTGATATTTATTATTTTTTCTATTTTCTATTTTGTCAGGTAAAACCAACCAACTTCATCAGAATTTTCTAAACTTTGTATCAACAGCTAGATCTTGTACATCTAGACCTTCCCATGCCACTCGGGTGGATACTATAAAGCTGCCTGAAAATTTTCTTAAGCAGTTACGGTGGAGATCCCCACCTGCTGGAACAGTCCTCAGCGTTTTCTGGTGAAGATCAGGTCAGCAGAGACAATTTTGTATATTAGGAGACATAACCAGCTGTAGCATGCCTCAGGGCTGACAGGGATGGAAGGATGGAGGATACAGTGTGTGGCATCACAACTCAGCTCTCCTAAACAGATGAGTCTGCATTTCAGTGCTTTGGATAATTTAGAAAGGAAGATATTTTTAGTCATAGAGAATGTCAAAATAGTTGCTAAGAAAGATTTATCCTGGAAAGTAATTCTTAGCTGTTGCAATGTTCCTGCAAAGGAACTGGAACAAAATGAACCAGTGATTCACTATGGGCCAAACTGAGTCTACATATCTTCTGAAACTTTGATTTAGCTGTGTATCCTATTTTTCTATGCAGTACATATTAGAAAAACACCTCCCGTTAGAAGTGGAATTCAGCAAGCTTTAGAGGTAGTACAGATTGAAAAATCATATCTGAGCTGTCTCTGGTTGATTAACACTACCTGTAGCTATAGCAGGTGGGAGAAGCTTCGCATTCCTTTTCCTCAAACAAAGAGTCCGGGCACTCCCGACCGCTGTTGGCGGGGAGCTGGATGATGACGCGGTGACGGGACTGCTTCCTTACCGTGACACCCCCTGCGAAGAGGAGAAGAGCTTGTTTCTCCTGCTACTACACAGGGATGACAGTAATTTGGGGAAAAATATGATTTAACGTAACAAGTATTGGAACCAATCGCTATAATATTGACACATGCTGTTTTGTCTATAAGGAGAAAATTAAGTCTAATAGATAAAACACTTTAATCTCAGCTAAAGGCCAGGAAGCAGAACTAAACAGAAAGCAATAACAGCAATAACGAACAAATAAATATACAGCTGAAATGAATAAACAGCTCAAATGAACAAAAATTAAACCAGCTCAGTTTGCTGTTGCACTTTACAGTTTCAAAGTGTAACTTTGTCCTGGTCGTTTGCGTGTAAAACCAGAAACAGAAATTCTACTCTGGAATTAATTTACAGTTTACAGTTCTTAATTATTATAGTAATTCACTATTAATGATAAACAGTAAATAATTCCTGTAGGAATTTTTATCTCAGTCATATTCAGATATCAGTTCATCAGGCAAAAAACTCAGAGAAAAGACAGAAATCTATAGGAGTTCCACAGCAATACCTAAATATTATCAGGTAAAATTCTTGGATTTTTTTTTTTTTTTTTTTTTTTTTTTCCCCCTCAGAGAGCTATAGCACAGTCATTTGGCTGATGGGGTTGATACCAGCTTTGGGTGGGTTATTACAGCAGCTGCAGCTTGTCTGAATACAGAAGCGTGCTGGACCACAGCCAAGCAATTGTAATTAGGAGCAAGTGGTAGGAGAATCCCGGCGGTGGCTCTCCACCACCTGGCTGCTTCTCAATGCAGAGGAAACCCTCTGCTCCCCAGTCAATCAGCTCCAGGAGATGCCAGGAGCTGGCACAAGGGCCATGACAGACATGCAGCCCAGAAAAGCTGCTGACCAGCTTGCTGACACAAATGGGTAAACCCCATGAAATAAAAACTGTTTCTGTAGTATAAAAGGAGTTTGACTCGCTGAATAGACAAAATACCTGTATTGGTTCACAAATATACTGTTTTATAGAAGCCTGCATGCTAGTTTGTAGTAAATATTCATGAAGATATGCTCAGTGCTTCAAGAATTTTCTTAAAACTCACAGAAATGAGAACAGAAAAGAATGGTATTTTGTCCAAGATGATCTGACCTAATGAAAATATTTCAGAAAAAACTATCAATAGTGCTGTAAAGTAACACGGTATTTAATAATGAGTAACTACTTCATAGATTCAGATTCAATGGTCTTAATTCTCTGTTCTTTTTCAAAGGTTACAAATTTAATCTCCCTAACCTCTTTCTTTTGTTAGAATGCACTAAGCACTAATAAGAATTACTGCAGAAATGCCTTTATGCTTGTGTCCTTTATAAAGAGTTGGCCACGACATTTGAAGTGTGTATATTTGATATAACAATATCTTACATTCTGATAATATGGTAGCTGTGAGTAATCACCACGTCCCACACAGGGATTAGCACCCTGGGGAACACAGGGTATTACAGTCCATCTGTAATAGTACATATTAGAAAAACACCTCCTGTTAAGCTTAAAAGAGATAAGACATAATAATGTGGTCATTAAGCTGGTCATCACTTTAAATTCATGTATGATTTCAATGTACTAAAAATTCAAGGGAGACCTGCATTGTTTGTAAGAGCTTTGCCAAGTGTATTAAAATGGTCTTAGAATGTATGTTTATATCAGACCATTAACATCAACTTAAAGCCTGCTGATTTTTATTAACTTTTCTTTGATTTTCCTTGCAGTAGAGGAAACCAGACAAAATTATATACACATGCGTACCTATCTATTTACCTACCTAACTGCTGGTATATAAAGCTGCAATTGGCAAGAAGCATATGTATTTTTAAAGACCAAATCTGACCATTTTATAATGCTACATTTCAAATGCTACAATTGCACAAGTATCTGTTTTGGTGTTAGACTAAGAGATATGCATCTACTCCGTGACTAGTTATCTCTGTACCAGTGGAATATGCAAATGGGAATTTGGAACATAAAAGTAGGCAAAATGGGAAAAAAATCCAAACATACATATAGAAAATGCATAGAAATAACTATTATTTTCAGCAAAAAAATCTATGCCCTCCCTGCAGCTGCTGTACCAGCTATTCCACGTCCTCTGTCAGATGTGTATAAGCATTATGCCAAAAGTGACTGCTAGTCTGACTTTTTTTCTTAAAATTTGTCTACTAGCACACAATGGATAAAATTACCTTCTTGGCACGAAGAAGGACACAATGTCCAGTCACTGAACGGAGTCACAATACAGTCCTTCCTACAGGGAAGCAGACAAGGCCTCACAGTTTCTGGGCGGAGGCTCTCAGGGCATCTGAAAAAAAATGAAAAAGAAGCATTAACAAATAAACAATAATTCTGCAGTAAGTGGTGAATTACGAGGTGCTGAATGCCTGCAGGCACGTGAAGGGAGTGCTAGTTGACCAGAATTCACCAGGATGGAGCACACAAATAAAAACTATTAGCATTTAAATATATCTGGTGAAAGCAAGCCAAAATCAGTGCATTCTGTATCTGGGGATTTAACTTTAAAATATCATCATTCCTCAATCACCATTCCAGACTCTGCCTTCTGAGTGTTATTTTCATACTTCCAAATGATCATGAAGAAAATCCATCTAGTTTAGCTTAGTAAAATACATTTTTATCTCTTCATAAATACAGCAGAAGCATAAACCCTGTAAGGAGTCATATTTAAACTAAATAACACTGCTAACCCAGGAAAAAATAGGTATGAGCTGGCCATGATTATGACAGAAACCAGAAAAGTGTTTGAAACTGGCAGATCAATAAGACTGTAAAACAGCGTCAGAAGGGACAGAAAACCTCACTTGTTTTAGGAAGAGGCTTGATCAGCATATAAAAGGGATTATTGGACTGTCGCATATGGAACTCGTTAACCCAGGTAATTTTCCCCATTCTGTGTTCCTATTTTTTCATCAAGGACAAACAACACTCTATGCTGCAATACTTGTCTTCAGAATGATGCAATAACTCCTGCAGAAGTACTGCAAATCTTTGAAGTACTTTCAAAATTACTATTGCCCTAAAAGCGTACAGACTGTGGACTGTTAGAGAAATATATAAAGAAAAATATCTCTTTTATATTTCTGAGCTTTTGGCTCATTACAGAAAAACATTACTCTGACTAGCTTTTCCTCTTGTGGCTGCTGGGCGTCTGGGACCAGAGAGACGAGAGACCATTTTAAAACTTGGATTGGATCAGCTGGGGAAGCTTGGCTTGTGCGAGGCATCTTTCTTGCCAGGCTGAAGGGAGCACAGGCAAGTCTAATGATAAACTACTGAGAAAATGTGATCTCCATTCTCAGTGGAAAACGATGCCTGTGCAGTGTAGCAGGAGAAGCCGGGAGAAAAGAGAAGAAAAGTTGAGTTGCAGCTTTACAGGAACACATTCTTCAGCAATAACATTTGCTACTTCATGATTTCCATTGGTTGCCTCTGCATTTTCCTGTCAACTCTCCAGCACTAACTATCTTGCTGCCCTCTTATAATGACATACCATGGAATATTATAGCTATAACAACATAAATCTTCATCACCTCTCCATAAGCTCTCTCTACATTGTTAAGTCAAATTGTGACTTGTTTATATATGATTCATAAAAACAGATTATAAATATGTGGCTGTATTATATATGGTCAGGTACACTTTAAAAAAACATCTGCCACCATTCACATATATTGACTATATTTTGATAAATTTTCTCTAAAGTTAAGATTAAAAATGCTTCTTAAAAGTACTGAACACTGGCTTACTAATGGCTTTTTCCTTAAAGAACAACAGAAATTATAAACACACAAAAAAGTATAAATTATACACATTCACTGTTTCACTGAGAACTTAATCTTTCAGCAGCACTGAACATTACAATTCCTCTTCAGATCCTTGGGCAAGCAATTAGTTCAATTAGAACACCATTTCTATCTTTTATATTGTTTGTGTTTAATATATGTGGCTTAAAGCAAAGTATTGATTTTTTGCAGTCCTTACTCAAGGTCAAATTAAACAGAAAAGATACAAGCTGAAGTCTGTAACTTGTGAGGAAGATAAGGCCAATAATATTGATTGTATTGTACCACAGTAATCCTTTTTATTAGGGGGAGTTTAAAACAAGGTTCCTATTTACATTTTCATGTTAAATGTCTGGGTCTTTAAAAATGATTCAGTGATTTTAATGTGATAATTTGAAGGATCAACCAAGACTTTTTTCTCATTTCAGGATTCATTTATGACACAATAAAACAGCCCTCCTCCCCAAAAATTTAAGGTCAAATCAAAGCCAGAGATATTAATGGTAGATTTAAAAAGGAAGATAAATTATTATAGGTTTTTTTTAAATGTAAAATGAGTACCAAATAAAATATTTAATGGTATCATGACTGAATTGAACAGCAACATAATGCAGATATACAACAATTTAGATTACTGAATGCGCTGGTATTATTCCCCATATTTCCATTTAAGTAAATTAGGAATAAGTCTACTGCTGAATAAAGAAACAAATGGCAGGCGCTGTACAAATATTTAGCACAAGAATAGCTGCCTTATGAACTTTCTAAATGACCTCTGCTACCAGCATTTCGAGCTTCGAAACTGTCCTTAGTGGGATATATTTACAGACTATCAAACTGCATGAAGATATTATAAAATGTATTTTACTAGCACCTAATCTTTATTTAACCCTGGTTATATATTAATCTGTAAAATTAAATCCTTGGGCCAAAGGGATCTCTTAAGAAAACCCCACATATATGGGAAAAAACCTCAAAAAGGTTGTCAAACTAATATTCAGACTGATGTTTCAAACTAATACCCTGTCATAGCTGCACTACGCTTCACCTCCTTGGTCTGCTTCTGAGAAGATGCACTTACATGGATTGTACTGTATTTAGATCCAAATCAGTATTTTTGTCTGGAACTGCACTATTCCGCACAGTGCACTGCTTGCTTGGAGGTACCACAAGGGTCTTGGAATGTGCTGCACTGCACACCACACTCATACCCCAAGACTTACATCTTGACTCAAACTGGTGATGGCAAGGAGCCAGCTGGATTTAGTAGTCAGTCAGCTGTCAGCAGAATCACCACTATAAATATCTCCCGTAAAAATTGATAATGAGAAAGGTATTATATAGTCCTCCTGTACCTTCAGTTTTGTATTTTTAAAAGATTAATTGTTCCCTCATGAGAACACAAAGAACAGGGTCTTTTTGTCTTTGCATGCAGTCATTGGTGATATAAATTTAAAGCAGCAAAATCTGAAGATAATTACAGCATGAAGATATTTTTTAAGATCTTTACTTTTTTGGGCCCACTTGTCCGACGTTGACTCTCACACAGATGACCTTTCTTGTCTGCATCCCCACGGAACAGGTAGCCTCCCCGTTCCAGCTGGCAGAAGAGTTGAAAGCAGAGACAGACGTATCCTCTATGCACTGTCCCCATGGGCCGGTCTGCCAATGATACACAGTGCAAGAGTGTTCGTTACAGCTGCGCGTTTCCTGTAGAGCACTACTATTTGGGCACTGTATTCCTCCTGGAACAATAAAACAGGGCAATGGTTCATGCTGTGCAAGGAAATAAGGTGTTTTATTAAAAAACAAAAACCCAAACAAACCCGCATTGAAGTCTTATTAGTTACCTATTATCATCTTGATTACATGACAGAAACGCTGTTCCCTTTTCCTCCTCTTCATATGCCCAGTGTTGACTTCAGCAAACTTCAGTCAACAGACTACACAGAACTGACTGTACATGGACAGTAAATGTAAATGTGTACAATAAGAATGCCAAAATAATCGTAATTTCTATAACACACTAATGTGCTTGGACTAACCTACAGCCCTTTTACTTTGGGGTTCTCTCAAAGAGACTATAAGAGATCACATAAGAATGTATGAAGGATCTAGGCAGAAAAAATGGTTAAATACTCTAGTTATGCATGTATAGAGACCATTGTTTATGTCTAATTCATGGATCAATTAAAAAGATTTTTGGAGCTCTTGTCCTAACTCCCAGTGGGTATTTATCCATGTTACGTAATTACCAAAGAGGATGGCACAGCTGGCAATTTCAGGTCCAGATTGAAATAACAAAGGTTGTTGCAGGTTAAGATTAAAATGCATTCATGTGTCAATAATTGTGAAGAAAAGCTCAGATAATACTATCTTTGTTGTGTCGTTTCAGACAGTACATTCAGTTTCTTATATTCAAGCACTTCAAAACCGGCCTCTGAATCCTCCCTGAGTAAAGAAGGTGTCTTTCCTACCAGACTTGATCATAGGTTACTAGACATCTCACCCTGTGAGTAGACAGCATGTCTGCTAGATCTCTGGTGTTACTAGACATACAGAATCTAGACTTAGAACATTCATGGCTTACACAACAACAATAGGACTCCTATCTCCAAGTGACGGAGCCAGTGAAAATTTAAACAACATTTTAGTCTTTCCTAAAAGACAAGAACAGTAAGAAAGATAATTGAAAGAAGAGTTTTTTATTAGTTACTGTATATGAGCCATAAAAAGCTTCTCTTAAAAGAAAAATGTATGCTTACAGCAAGCGCATGTCAGAAAGCATATTAGCCTTTATATTCCAACACTGAAATTTAGGTTGACTTTCTGCTCCACAGACATGCAAGAGGGAGGAGTTTGAAACACTCATTATTGAGAGAAATCAAACAACTAAAAGTAATCAAAGAAACAACGGATATTTCAAGTACTCCAACAGAAGTGAGTCAAGTGTCACAAGCAGGAAAATACTTTATACTCAAGTTGTTTTTGTGGTATGACTATATCTTCAGCAAATATGAGGAAAGGGCCATTCCAAAGAAACAACAGGACAAAATCCAAATTCTCAAATTATTTCTATAGAGATATTTTAAACTTCTGACTTTAGGCTAAAAATACTGATGCAACCAAGCAACATTAAAAATCATATTAGCTGAGAAGTCGTGTCAAAGACCAGCTAATCTTAAATTTTACAAAAGGGGATTAGGAAAAGCTAAAAACATGTGACTGTAATTAAACAATTACTTAAATTAAATTATTTTTTGGCTCTGAATGGATGCAAGTCAAGTCTACCAGAATTGCTTAAAATCTATGTCAACATGCAAAGCATCAAGAGAAAATGTCATACGCATTCTCCTAAAAATGAAATAAAAAAAAAATGGTAAAACAAAATTATGGTTATGTAATGTTTCAAAAAGTTATTCATGCAGTTTCCCTCAAGAAATAAAAAATCTTACAGCTAACACCAGCAGATAAGACTATAATCAATGAAATTAGGAAAGTGAGTGTATTTGGAAATGAAAAAAAATAAATCAAATATAGTAAATCCACAAGTTATTTGGCATGGGAGAGAAAATTGAACCACATGAAGAGTCTAGACATGCTCCCCCAGTACAAGGGTTAAAAAAGGGAGAATTTAGAATAAATAAGAAAGGTTAGTAAATTAATTATTTCCATCTGATTTTAGCTCAAGAAGAAACACAAGGGAAATATTTAAGCAAATTCATAAATTAAAGCTTGTTTCTGTGGGAAGAAATGTTTCCCCAGCAATGGATGCCATCGCCACCAGTTCCTAAGGCATCTGAGAATAAAGTGACAACTTAGATTCCATTTTGACAGCTTTACAAAAATGTATATTCAGGGCAAAAATGAGAGTGACATTGGCTTGTAAATGAAAAACTTTGGGGCACGAATGTCTTCAGCTCAGTGGGAATCCAGTTCTGTTCAGATTAAACCAGTAGTTAAAAAAAAATGTAAAGAATTAACAAAATGTGGAAATAATATTACTGAAATATAAAACAAGTATCACAAGTAACAAATCTTTATAATAATAAAAATTATACTACTTATTTATAAATCACTATGCTATTCTCTCCAGGAAAACATCATTCCCTTGTGCTCCCTCAAATTAAAATAAGTACAGAAAAAGCAGGAAGAGTTGGAAATCCAGCAGTTAGAGATGCCCTTAACAACATCTGCATAGGGGTAACAAGATCAGGACTGCTCAACGTTAAGAGCATTTCACCGAATGAGGACAGGTTTGACAGGAATATAAAAATTAATGAGTATCACAGAAAAAATAAAACAGACTTTTACTTTTATCAGAATACATGGAAATGGGATACAAAATACTAAATACTTTTTATATAGTGTATGATCAGATGACTGTAAATAACTTCTTGGCAGCACTAAAAATAATAATTTCAAGGTACAACAAACACTTGGAGCTGAAGCATTTCTTTGTGGTTTTGGATACTTAAGCAAAGCACACTTAGAAATGAAAGGCTAGCTTTACAGAGGGACTTGTATATTCCTCATAAAATAGCAGAGATATGAGGGTAGTTTTGTTGAATGTTTTAATGGAATTGTCATACAATTAGATTGCTTTTCTGCCTGGTTTGGAGCTGGTAATGGGTAAGACAACCTGCTCTAGGATATTCAAGGATTGGATTTTATAAGTCTTTTTTGTGACACTGTCTGGATAACCTCCAAATTTCAGAACGCTTAACATTTTCTCAAGTATTTAGGATAATTTTAATTAATCATTTTGATATCACTCATTTTAGAAATGCATGTAATTTCATAAATGCATTTCAAAACAGCTGAAATAATCTTAAATTTTGAGAAAACAGATGCAATTGAAGTGCCTCTTGTAATCTAGAGTGAGTTGTTACTTTGCTGTAGGAATGAGGTAGGCATTCCTTGAGGCAGTTGCACTTCTCAAAGGCAGACATGGTCAGTACATGCAGACTGCTAACATAAGAACAGAGACTGCCCTGTTGATGCAGATCTCCTGTTCCAGGTCTTCAAACATTCGCACTTCTGGTGTATATCAGTTATACAAACCAAGCAGACTTGTCCTATATTGCACAGCAGGATGGAAGTTAGGGTGCACTGATGGGAGATGAGGGGTCCTGTCCTCAATTCCTTTCTTGGATAGAATCGGAATCCCAGACCCCACACTACAGGCAGGAATCTGAACTGAGGGGGTCCTGAACAAAAGGGGAAGCACAGTAACATCCTCTCTCATGGCTCGCCTTCATACACAGGTGCCACGTCACTTTGCAAAGACTAGCCTGAAAATTCAGGTTCCCCAGTTCCAAAACTAAGTGTGTTTTTTATTCCTGTTTCAGCTGAAATCAGTTAAAACTCATAAAATCTCTGTCTTCTCTAAAACTGATCCTTTGGTGAATAAGTAATTTGCTGGGAAAACAATTACTCAGTTCTATGCTTTCAAATGTAATTACCAAGCACTGTTATTTCAAGCCAGGAAAATACAAAAATTTAAACCAAACAAACTCAATAAGTGTAAGAAGAGTGAACATATTAAAAAGCCCTAAGTATAACTCCTCTTTTGCACCTATGAAGTCAAGTGCACTGGAATTTTATAAGGAATAAAATTTTAAAGCATATCAACCGTAATTTGCCTAGAGTTGAGAAGAAACCCCTTTGATCCAGTTATTCCTTACATGTTCAGCAAATCAATCTTGCAGATATATGAGAAGTATGAGCTATTGGCCTCTGTCAAACAGAATACCTGATGAGATGCACAACTGACATCCTATACTGTCTAACTCAGTAATGTTTAATAGTCTGTGATATATGAGGTCACACTAAATAGTCCTTCTGACATTATACTTTGCTAACCTATGAACATACAATAGCCATAGTAAGACATTGCCACACATATGTGTCCCTACCCTAAGAGAATATTTCAAACAAAATCGTCCTTCACTCTCACCTTATAAAATTAAGCTTTTTAATCAGATTATTTTCTTATTTGAATGTGATTTGAGGTTTTATTCTTTTAATCTTTACTTTTCCAAAACCAGTGTCAGTCATTTACTACTGATAAAACTTGGAATGTATCCACAACATTAGTGTTATGCTGTATGACAGTGACTTCACAATGTCAATCAATGCAGTGTATAATCAATACAGAATCAATCTGCATATCTATTATTTACTTAAAAATTAAGACTCATTTAGTACCTTTTATTCTCAGGTCATGGCCCATGTAAAGTAGACTCAAAAAATTAATGAAAATATTCAATAGAAAATAAAACAAAAAAAGGCAAACCTACATTCAACAGAGATAAGCTGAGCTGTACACAATGCCTTCACTAGACTTATGTAGAACAACCATATGATGCATCAGGTAACATCATTATGTCCTTTGCTGTCATTTTATATTTTGAGACAGTGACTTTCTGAAGTTTCTCACTGTACCATGAAGATGTATTTGACAGTGACACAAATGAGCTACCACTACAAGCAGGCTCACAGACAGGCAAATTTATAAATCACTTCACCTTTCAAACCTTCAAGCTGAGGACAGTGATCTCAGAAAAGATATCAAAAATCATTACTGTGACACCAGTTTCCACATGGAGTCATCTCACAAACCACAGAAAATCTTTAACTTGAAGAAAGAGACTCCTCTCTCTCTCTCTCTTTCCACTGACTGCAAATAAATAAGCCCATCCCAGACGTGCATAACCAGACCATGCTTCAGGCTCTAGCGTATGGTTTGACCACACGGAAGAGGTGTTGTCTTGCATGAGGAAATGTTGATGAGAGGACACGTGGCTGAGGTCAGCTCCTGGTTCAAGCAGAAGTCAGTGTGGTGCTGGAGGGGCAGTTGTAGCCCACAGCTCATTAGAAAACTTTGTCACTACTGTAATTTACATATTGCTTCAATTTTTCCCGTTAAACTATTCTTGTCAGTAAAGAATTATTATAATGTTACTGAATTATTCCAAGTCACCCAAGAAAATCTATTCTACAGAGTCTGTTTCCTGTTGGCCAGTTATGCTAACTTGAGGGTTTCTTCAAACCAATTCAGCAGCACAGATAGCTGGGAAGTAAGAAGAAAAGCTCTTAATTGTGAAATGACATAGCTCTATCACGGCCAGTCGTCTGCCAACATTAACAAGCAAAATGACAGAATATAGTATTTTTTATTTCAAAGAGGAGAGAAACTGAACAATTGCAGGCAATACTTTGATAAGAATCCATCTGAGATCCAGATAAAAGAATCCAAAGCCATCTGAGATCCAGATAAAAGAATTCATTTCCTATGCATTTATAGACCCTTTAAAAATTTCAATGGGCTGTTCATGTTTTAGTATCCCAATGAACCAGAATTAAGCACTTTAGATACTTCGAGGGATTGCAATATTCCTTCTGTAGGTAATGCCTGCAATGCTTTGATCTTCCCAGGCTTGTAGACTGAATTCTCCATGACTAGCATGAGGATGTGTGTGATCAAGGACTCACAGTGGTAAACTTGGAATCCTTATATCATCTTAGAAGCCAAGTTTAGCTTTGTTCATAGACTGGCAACAGACTTGTACGTTCTTTCATTAATGAATGTCCAATCCTGATACCATTGGAATTGCAAATATCTATGTATAATATATTTGTCCTATTGTGTCCTGAATAAAAACTCTCGAATATCATGGCAATATTGTACAGGTATTACTATGAAATTGATTATATAACCTGGTTTGTCTCTCATATCAACAGTTCAGGCAAAGGTTCAAAAATCCAAAAGGGAACACCTGTGGGACTGTTCACCTGAACAGAACTGATAGGTATTTTCAGAACTCAGTTTTAATGTGTAAATAGAATTATTGGTCCTACATTTATTAGAATTGGGATTTTTAGTTACAAATTACTTTTACAGAGTTTTCAACAGCAATGTACACTTTTATAAGCTCTGAATGCAACTGAGAACTGCATGTTTCCCAAAAAAGATTTATGTGGAGCTTCCTTTTTATATCAGCAGAATACAGATGTTCAGATACATTAATATGTATAGGAACATATATTCTGGGATATGGAGAAAGCTGAGGTACTCACTGACTTTTTTGCCTCAGTCTTCACCATCAAGGGCTCCAGCCACACCACCCGAGATGCAGAAGGCAAAGGTGGGGACTGGGAGAATGAAGAACCACCCACTGTAGGAGAAGATCATGTTTGAGATCACCTAAGGAACCTGAAGGTGCACAAGTCCATGGGACTTGATGAGATGTATCCGCAGGTGCTAAGGGAACTGGCAGGTGAAGTGGCTAAGCCTCTATCCATCACATTTGAGAAGTTATGGCAGTCCAGAGAAGTTCCCACTGACTGGAAAAGGGAAAACATAACCCCCATTTTTAAAAAGGGAAAAAAGGAAGACATGGGGAATTACAGGCCAGTCAGTCTCACCACTGTACCCAGCAACATCGTAGAGCAGATCCACCTGAAAACTAAGCTAGGGCACATGGAAAATAAAGAGGTGAATGGTGACAGCTAACATGGCTCCACTAAGGGCAAATCATGCCTGACAAATTTGGTGGCCTTCTATGATGGACATACAGTGTTAGTGGATAAGGGAAGAGCAACTGCTGTCATCTACTTGGATTGTGCAAAGCATTTGACACTGTCCTGCATGACAACTTTGTCCCTAAACAGCAGAGACATGGATCTGATGGACTGACCACTCAGTGGATAAGGAATTGGCTGGATGATCAAACTCAAAGGGTTACAATCAATGGCTCGATGTCCAAGTGGAGACCAGTGACAAGTGGTGTTCCTCAGGGGTCGGTGTCGGGACCAGCGCTGTTTATCATCTTTGTTGGCAACATGGACAGTGGCACTGAGTGCACCCTCAGCAAGCTTGCTGATAACACCAAGCTGCATGATGCGGTCGACATGCTGTAGGGAAGGGATGTCATCCAGAGGGATCTTTACAAGATTCAGAGGTGGGCCCGTGCAAACCTTGTGAGGTTCTTTTATTTGTTTATTTATTTTTATTCTCCAGAGTTTGTATACAGTGCAAAGGAGCATGGTTTTGAAGATACCTGACCAAGATGTGAGTGAATTGCTATAACTAGGTAGACTTGTGTCCTTAAAAAAAGCATAGAATAACCTAAGAATAGTGGTACAGAGGCCAAGGTCTGAGCAAATCTGAAGCACTACAACACCCAAGTAATGAGCTAGCTTTCTCAGCAGTAGTTTAGGGATCTCTTCACTACTGCCTGTGTGGTTTGAGACCTGTTAATCCTTGTGATCACTCAGTGCTGATTCTGATCATTGCACAACAGACATAAATAAAATTCACATACTTAAAATCCAGGCTGTGCTTAACTGCTTTGGTGCATCTGCAGCCTTGTAAATTATCTTAAGTTGTGTTAAGTGTCAAAGTTAGAATCAAATGAGTACTATTTAAAAAGAAGCACAAAAAAGTGAAATAATTTTATGGAGTAATTTAGGTTTTCACTTCTGTGGCGTGCTTGTCAGGATGTTAAATTTCTGTCTACAGTAAAACTGCCTAAGCATATCAAAAATCTATGAAGTTGACTTACATGGAAAATCAAGAAGTACATGAATATAAGTTTATATGAATCGTCATATGAAAATGTGGCTCTGCGTTTCCTTTAAAATGAGTTCATTTGACACGCTATAGAAAAAGGGACAACATAAACCCTATTTTGTTTCCTATTTCAAGAGCATTTCTACTTTGTTACATAGATCCATCTAAGTAATTCATTATTTGAATCACCTACTAAAATGAGTGTAACACTTATAGCAAAGGTCCCTTTTAGGGAAAAGGTTGAAAGTGCCTGCTCTGCTACATTTTATTTTTTTTCACAATTAGCCAAATTCTGCCAAATACCCAGTGTAGTTTTAGCAATGAAGTTAACTGCGTTTGCAAACAGAGAAGTGTTTTGGTATACAATGAAGCCTGCTCCTTTCTCTTCCTATTTCTCAAAACAGATATTCTGTTTCACTACTTCCATACCTTACAGCTTTCACTTTTCAGCTAAATTTCATCTTAACCTGAAGTAATAAAACGCTTAACAAGTTTAAAGAGGAACTAAAACAGGCACTTAATCCTTTTATGGTGAAGGCAATTAACTTTACTGTCAGTAATACAAGTGAGTAAACATTTTCCAAGAACTCTTCAGTGGCTATATCTCCTTGATCCCAGTGTTAGCCAAGGCATTTTACTAGTTGGGCCCTGGCACACCTGATGTGGCCAGTTTAGAACCATGTTACATATAGAATACATTTGTTCTATTACCGCCCCACCCAGTTCTCCCCCGTCCAAATACTTAAGAGCAAAACCAAACCAGTTATAGGAAGCATGGAAAATCATCAAAGAATAGACATGAACCTGTATCTAAAACCTTTTTTTTCTTTATATTCCAGCTATGCCTTCTCTTTACATTTGCTGCAGACGTTGCACAAGGACCATTTGTTTGAATGGAAACCATTCACATGAGTGAGGATTTGCAGGATAAAATCAAAGTCTTACTATGAATAAAAATGTTAATGGGTTAACATTAGTTACCAATTTGAGCTAAGAAGCTACAAAAACCATTTGTTAGAATTTTAATCCATTAAAAATCTCATCTTTTCAGTATTCATATGTCTATCCTTCCAACTTGGACCTAAATTAGGGTTATTAACAATCCTCTATAAATATCTTTCATGGAGGTCTGCATAGGATAAATCATTTGCCTTGTTTAATTTTAATAAAAAAAAACCCAAGAAAATCAAATATTTGAAATCAAAATAGTAACAATATGCAGAATAATAAAAATTAGCAACATTAACTGAAATTAGCAAAATAAAATCTCATCTTTAAAACAGCTTTAGGTACCATAAGCAAATGTAGGATACGCATTTAAATATTTTCTTCTATATTCAGAAAACCACAACAGCATCTAATAATTTGTTTCTGTCAAATTTCAAGAAATTACTTTGACATTACAAAGACAGTTGAGAATTCACAATCAAACAACAGTCTGCAAGAGTATGCGACCTTACCTTCACCTGCATACGCCAGAATGGAGCGGGCACGCATCTGCTTCCCTTCTGTGGTTTTGCCGGAGCAGGTGTGTGAGCAGGAGGACCATGCAGACCACATGCTGAGCACACAGTCCTTTGGGCACGGAGCTTCGCAGACAACTGGGATTGGGTAGATAGCATCTCTACACAGCTGTCTGTCAACCTCTTCTCCTGGGAAAGAAAAGGCCAGTAGCAGTCGATCATTTGTTAAATTAACTTAAAATGAGCAATCTAGTCCAGATGGGCACACAAATAAATTAGATTCTGTTCTTCTATATAAACAAGGTAAATAGATTTTTTTATTAAAATTACTTGTCTTCTCTGCCTTGATTCTAGAAGAACATGCTTAAACCTAGTTTAATTTGATATTCTGCTGAAGTGAATTTCAGCCTGTGTGGTCTTTAGGCTTTCATTTTGTTAATATGTGTTTCTTTCCACAGAAAATCCTAGTGTGAATAACAGAGTATATAATATACCTGTGGGAAATTGTGTACATGGAAATGCATGTACAGTAATCACCTAGTCTTCATCAATGTTTGTGGGAGAAGGGGAAAAGTATCTTAACTTCCAGCTTAGCCGGTTTTATAAATGACATTCATCCTTTTAATTGCAGGTATGCATCAAAAGATGAAGAGTTGCAGTAACCCGCAGCCAGTGTCGTCTTTGGTTAGAAAGATCTTAATTTATTAGCCAACCAGTTACACATCACTCTGCATCATGGAAGTATAAAAAGATCTATGTATTTGTATTCTGTCAAACCAATGTACATATTTCATTATAATAAAAAGATCCAGACTGGTATAAATTGTTTAATGAAATACTAGCTAGTGTTTAAGTAGCAGGATTGCTTTTGTTTTCAGTAAGGAAATCATGGGAGCAGTGTGCCCAAGATCTGCCTGAACAGCACCCTAATCACAACGTTTTTTAACGTGATATACAATTTCCTGTTCAAATCAGTTAATATCCATTAAGTGAGTAATGAACGAATGACCACATATTCTGAGGCCAGTAGTCTCACTGACAGTGATAAAAGCCTGAGGATAAATCTTCACTTTGGAGCAGATAATGGAAAAAATGAACTGAGGAGAGATTTTGATTCACTGTTTTAGAATTATAGTCATGTTATCATACAAACCAATTACAGAAAGTTCTTGCAATGAAAAGCACCAGGAACTGAGCAGTAGTCCAAAATGTAATGCCAGTTACAGGGAACTGTGAAAAAGTTGCATCTAAGAGCACACTGGAATCTGAGGCCCTGTTAATCACGTACATTCAAGGCACGGAAAGAGCTAGTTAATTTATAAACAGGAAACCTTTATTTTTAAAAATTTTCTGAAAAGCATATTTCAAAGCATCTAAGAATGCATTTTCTACTACATGATCCTTGCTGTAGTAGGGCATAAAACCTTCTGTTGAATTATGATTCATCTTCTGAAATGTTATTGAAGCATATGTGATCTTGATGGGATTGAATAGGAGTGTCTACAGCACTGCATTTGATACAATCCATTATGTCAACCGTTTTGTTTTAATAGCTAATATCATCAAAATAGTGTCCCATTAAGATTTACAATGAACATGACTTTGATACAACAAAACATTTGTTAGAAATAATCATTAAATACTCTATAATTTAATGATAAAGACACCAGCCAGTGTTAATAACTACCACCTGGATTCTGAAAAGCTAATTCAATGAGAAATGTGAATGCTGTAAATGAAGCCAAAGATCTATAAACACTGCTTTACCCAAGTCTCAAATTAGGCTTTTATTGCTTAATAGAATAATAATAAAATTAAACAGAAACTACATTTTTGTCATTCAAGTTTTAGAGAGTCTTAAAATCTCTCAAATAAGAATGTCTGATAAACTGAGTTCCTGAAAATAGGAGGTTCTTTAGTACTAGTGACATATCATGTGTCCCAAAACTATTAATGACTAAATTCTTTTAAAAAAGGAAAATATGAGGGCCATCCATCCAATATTACATCGCTCTAACCAGTGTCACATATTTTATTCATACAGAATCTTTAGTCACAACAGAACTGCAAACATCAATCTTCCTTGGCTCTGCAAACCAGGGGAAGTCCTACAGCTCATGCTTTTAAAATAGCCTAAAGTAATCATAGTCATCTGAATTATAAAGACCTTTGAGATCAAGTCAGTCTCAATAGCTATATTTTCCCATATTAAAAATACAAATTTGCGTCCTGGCAAAGGCTTCATAGATCTCCCACATCAAGTTCTGCTTCCCTCACTGGGCTCAATCTTTGCATCAATTGCTCCTTCTGTTCATCAGGTCATCACACGCTGACACCAATGCAGGAGGGATTCCTGACTGCTTCATCAGACTGGCATGTGTTTGGGTTGAAGGACAAGATGGAGGAGCAGACTGCAAACTTCTTTTCCAAAGAATAGAAAAAAAATAAAAAAGGGGTGACTCTTACTCTCTAATTGTTCCATTGTCAGGTAAGACTCAATGAGGTAAACTGCTGAGGCACTTTCACACTTTGCAAGAAATACTGCTATTATAATTATGTCATAGTATAAACATACAATACTATATTGAGCTTATTTATTGCCTGCCAACTAAGGTGGTGTTAACTTGAAATTCAAACTAAATTTGGGGTCACAATGAGAAATTTTGTTAATTAGTTTCAGTCTTATATTAAAAAAAAAAAAAAGCCTTAATTCTCTCCCAAAATCAAAGCCCTCCTTCATCCTTTGCTTTTACAGAGAAAATATTATAGAAATAGGTATTTTCCATATTAGAATTTAGTTTTTGTCAACTGTCCAATTCTTATCTGATGAATTCAGCAGCATAAAATGCAGTTGGAAGGAATGTTTCATAATGGGTACTTCTTATCTTCAGGGAAATATTTTATTTAGACTAAATTGTTTCTGACATTACACTAATAATTTTATCAACAACTTGACCTTTGTTGCCTTCCTCTTTAAAGCGCTTTGTGTAGTCAACTACTAGGAACCACTCAGCCATAGACTGGGATCAATGCCAATGTAAAGACTAAAGCTACTTAGAAAAAAGTCCCATTTGAAAAAGTTTGTCATGTGTAGTCCTATATTTTATTTGAAATTCATATGTATACATTTATGTTGCACAAGAGTTGAAGACAGAACTCCAAAAACTCAACTCAGAGGCCCCTGCCCTGTGTTACTTATACTCTAAGCAACAGAACAACAAAAAGTAAAAAATCAGAAAGTTGAAAACAGAATAGGACATTTCTGTAAAGAAAACTCTTCATTTGTTCATTATAATCTGGACTCTAGCAATAGTCCATATTCAGAAACAAGGCCTGTGTAGTTGAGTGATATTTCTCTCTTATACAAGAGATACACATTTTGGGCTGACTTCTCCAAATTGCACTAAAGGGAGTGACTGCATGTAGAAATGGCAGGAGGCAAAAGAGGTTTTCCTTTTCAAGGATTTAAAATGTTAAAAAGTGCTTAAACCTTTGCTGGGATTTTTAGCAGTTTTGTATCATCAGTAAAGAAAGCTCAGGAGAGAGCCTTTCAAATCCAGATCTTTTCCTTGATCTGTTATGCTGGTTCCAGCTAGACAATCAGCAAAGCAAGTCACTATATGAAAACCTCCTTGTGGCCACCTTCTTGGTGTGAAGACCTTCTAGACCAGAACCACTAGTGAACTCCTGAACTGCCTAATTGCTTTAAAATAAACAAACAAGAACAACAAAACCCAACCAAAGAAAAAGAACCCTACCCCTCTACTGAATAAACAAGTTTTTACAGATTAGAGAGGTAACTTGTGAATAGCATGAAGGAAGAACAGTCTAACTATTCATAAGTATCAGACTATATTCATATCACCATTCTTGTTTTATTACATTCACAAAACAGATATGGTATCCATGAAAATTCAGTCTATATGCTAAAGTTTTTGTTAGACCGAAGAAGACCTACATTCTGTGTTTAATGTAGTTGAATCACATCACTCCTTTGTGCTTTTGTTTACTCATCTGTAAAATGTGTCTGATATTTAAGTTTCTTTTAGAATGCATTAAGATCTTTCCAATGGGAAGCACTCCCAGAGCTGGTGTCACTAGAGAGACATGGTAAGTAGATCCTCTTGCTTACTGTGCATCTTTTAATGTGATACATGCTTCAGTGCACAGTAAAAAATTGCTGTCAAATTCTGACCTGTAGTAAATGGAAAGGCAAGTGCTTAACAGAGGGCAAATCTTTTTTAAAGCCTTAAAATGAACAGTAAAATCACTGAAAGATTCAATGAGGCATAGAGAACAACTTAAAAAAAAAAAAAAAAAAACAAAAAACCAAACCAAAACAAAACAAAACAAAACAAAAAAACAACAAACAAACAAACAAAAAGATAAAATAAAAATGCTATGGTCTCTGAAAGGCTGAACTATAACCTGATATAAACTAAGAAAAAATTGACAATAAGATCACAATAAATGGATCAAATCAAGACAGTGCTTTTAACATTAATATTGAACATTATTTTTAAAATGCCTGTCTAATCAGTAAAGAACAGGAATATCACACAGTAATAAAACAAACCTTGTAGTTATATTTTAAAGTTCATAAAAGAACTAATGACAGCAACTGAGCCTAAATGTTAAAACAGCAGACTTCGGACTCTATATTGCTTGGTCAAATGTGTTCAAATGTACTAGTATTTCTGCAACTCTAAGGAAAAACAAAGGCTCAGTTATGCCAATATCTTCTTTTTGTGGCTCATGGTAGCCACATCTGATAGTCTGCTTTTAAGTACAACAGACCATAGGAAACTACAGAGTGTCATTGACGTGTTTTTAAAACTGCATATTTAAAACGAGGATGTAAAAATACAAAAGGATAGAAAAGACCGACAATTCAGAGTACTGCATGATCCAGATGTACTGGTTATACATATGAGGCTATGTACTGTGCTCTATGCATGCAACTATATCGATTATAGGCATCACCTCCTTGGCTTCCTTCTCTTACACATTTTCTTGTCTTGTCAGGGAAGCTCAAAAGGAGGCATACAATGTGTCATCCATTGAAAAACTTCTAAGCACCTGAAATACTTGATAAGGCACGCCAGAGCTCAATTTTTTAAGTGCTTGGTGTTTGTGGGTGAAGAAGTGGTGGTTATTATTTAATTGCCTTCAGTAACACCTCTAAGCAT